TCAATACCATAGTGGAAAAGCTAAATAGGGTGGTCACAAGGACTTTAAATTAGCAAATGCGGAGGAAAGGTTGGGGGAAGTCAATATATTTTTAAAATAAGTAAAATTTTAAAATAAAGTAACATGATAGAAAGTAAAGAAGCAGCCAGGAATCCTACTTCAGGTATGGCAGGCAATGGCAAGACTATAAGAAGAGAGTTGATTAAACCTGAAGGCAGAAATAATAAACAGGTGAATAAAACATCAGTACTGAGAGACAGGTTGCAGCATATGGCCCAAATAAGAGTTCTAAATACAAATGAATGGAGCATAAGGAATAAATTAAATGAACTTCACACACAAATTCAAACTGGAGATTATGATATATTAGCCACTACTGCAACATGGCTGCAGGATAGTTGAGTGGGAACTAAATACACCATGTTATAAGGTATAAAGAGTGGACAGGGAATACGACAGAGGAGGTGGAGTAGCCTCACTGATTGGAAATAACATTACTTCAATGGTGAGCGAGCATATAATGAGGGGAGAGCATTCAGTGGAGACCATATAGGTTGAACTGAGGACTGGTAAAGGATCTAAAACTGCAATAGGTGTTGTGTATAGAGCCCTGCTAGCAACTCTGAAGAACTAGACTGTATAAATACAGAAATTAGTCAAGTGTGTAGCACAGCCAGAGCAGTACTAATGGGAATTATAACTTTAACTTAGATTGGGGAAGGAAGGCAAGCATCTGTCAGAAAAGTAGTGAATTTTTGGAGCATGTCTGGGATATTACAATAGTTCCCTATACCCTGGATGTAACAAGGGAACAAGCAATATCGAATTCAGTAGTGGGCCAGATTTAATCAGCAACATAACTGTGCCTGAATATTTATCAATTAGTGATCATAACATGTTCAAGTTCAACGTAATGCGTGAAAGCAAAAAGCATGAATCGGCAACTAGAGTTTTTGATTTGGGTAAAGCCAACTTTAACGAGATAAGACAAACTGTCCACAGTAAATTTGGAGAATCTGCTAATGGATTAAACAACTAAGAACAATGGACGAAGCATTTAACTTTATACAAAACAGGTTATACACTGCAGGGGGAAACTCTACCTCACAGGAAAAAGTAGCCATGGACAACTAATAGAGAAAAGGCATGAAAAGAACAGAAAGAAAGCTTACAAAAATGCAAAAAAAATGTACAGATTTGCCAAAAGTAATGATTCAAGGACCAACAAAGGGCCACAAAGTAAATTCTAAGAGCTACCAAAAGGGATTATGAAAGGAAACTGGCCAGGGGCATCAAAATCAATGAGAAGAAATTTTATGGTTACATAGAGAAAAAGCAGATGGTCAGGAGAAATATTGACCCAATAAAAACTGAAAGTGAAGATATTGGCAATGATTATGGGGAAATGGCAGACATGATAAATAATTACTTTTCCTCAGTATTTACAATAGAAAAGGAGGATACCTTGCCAGAAGTCCTGAGGAAATGTAATAGTAGACTTGGGACAGGGACTGAATACAATTAACTTAAGTAAAACATTGGCAAAGAGAAAATAAATGGAATTTAAGAGTGATAAATCCTGGAATCTGACAGCTTCCATCTGAGAGTTAAAGAAAGTAAGGGAACACATTGAAATATTATTGCTATGGTGTCTAGTTACCTAGATACAGTAATCATCACTCTGGATAGAAAATTCCACGTTAGTCTGCTTTAACGGCAAAGAAGGAAAACCAGAGAATTACAGAACAGTTAGCTTCACATCTGCGTTGGGAAATGGGGTAACTGAATACCTCAGATTCTTGAGGCATTGGGACCTATTCAGTGTAAAGTTGGGATCTATACGATTTGGACGGATTGCAACCCTGCAGGATTGGGATTAATATCGACCAGAGTATTTGCTACTGTAGTGTGGAAAGGTTTAAATGGAGTGGCAAGGAGATAGGAACCTGAACAGGGAGACATGAGTGAAGGAAACAACGATGCAAATGAAATGTGGAAAAGTAGAAAGCATTAGTGGAAGACAGAGGAAACAAGAGCTAGAATCATGTAGAAAATAAAAATGTCAAAGACATGTCTAAAGGTACTATCTTTGAATACCAGAGCAACAGTTTTAGGGTAGACAAATTAACAGCGCAAATAGTTGCAAGCATGTATGACATAGTAGGAAGGACAGCCAAAACCAAAAAGGTGTTATTAGTGCAAGTTGAAATTCATACAATAATGAGAAGCTATATTGGCACATGAAGTCAAGATATAGAATCAGTCTGGGTGAAGCTAAGAAGCAACAAGGGGTAGAAAATGTTATTGGGAATTGTCTGTTGATTTGATTTGGCATTGTGGAATTAAACAGAATTAGAGAAACATGAAACAAGAGTGTTACAGTAATTGTGGGTGATTTTAAACTACATATAGGCTGGACAAACACATTTGCAATAATATTGTGATGAATGAATACCACGAGTGTGTATAAGACGTTATATTCCACCAGTCCTTAAGGGATCAATATAGGGCAAGCTATCCTAGATTTGGTTTGTGCAATGAGGAGCAGTTAATTTAATAATCTTGTGAAAAGAGGTCTTTTTTCAGAAAAAGTGACCATAACATGTTAGAATCTTTCATAAGGATAAAAAGTGAAGTAGTCCAATCTAAAACAAGGGTCCTAAATTTAAATAAAGGAAATACCAAAAGTAGAAAAGGATGAGGTAGCTGCAACAGCCTGGGTAACTACATTAAAATGCATGGCAGTGGGTAGTCAATGGTTAATATTTAAGGAACAAATGCATTCAGTTGTATATTTCTTTTGGGTGAAAGAACACAACCAGTGCTAACAGCTAAAATTAAGAATAGTATTAGATCCAAAGCAGAGTCATATGAAGTTCCCAGAAAAGTAGCAAGCCTGAAGACTGCGAGCAGTTTAGATAAAGTGGATTAAGTTGGGAAAACAGAGTATAAGAATAAACTTGCAAGGTACATAAAAGTGACAGTAAGAGCTTTTGTAAGAATGTGCAAAGAAAAGAAATCATGTAACAAATGTAAGCCCCTTACAATCTGAAATAGGAGAATGGGTGATGGAGAACAAGGAAATGGCACAGCATTTTTTATTCACTCTCAGGAATGTGGGCATTGCTGGTCAGGCTTGCACATGTTGCCCATTCCTAGTTGCACTTGAGAAGGTGATAGTGAGCTGCCTTCTTGCTCCAAAGCCGTCCATTTGGTGTTGGCACACTGTCATAGCCAATACGGAGGGAATTCCAGGATTTTGACCCAGTGACCCTGACATAATTGAATTAAACGTCTACTTTGTCATCTATGCAGAAGAAGAAACAAGTAATTTCCCAGAAATGCTAGGGAAGCAAGTCATTTAGGAAGGAGGAATTAAAGAAAATTATTAGCATTAAAAGAAATGTAATGGGACTGAAAAAAATTAAGCCACAGGGCCGGATAACCTAAATGTCAGGGTATTAAAAGAGGTGATATGGAACTAGTGGATACGTCCATTGTTAGTTTCCAAAATTCTAAAGGTTCTTGAGCAGTCCTGGCAGATTGGAAGGTGATGAATGCAACTTCATTGTTTAAGAAGGATTGAGGGATTAAATTAGGAATTATAAACCAGTAGGCATAACATCAATAGTAGGGAGTCAATTATAATGATGTGATAATGGAACACTTTAAAATACCAATGCAGTTACACAAAGTCAGGAAGAGGTGAATGTAGAAAATCAAAGCATGTAGGATTGGTGGTAAAAAAATAGCATGGATTGAGAATTGGTTAGCAAACAAGAAACAGTATGTACAGGTCATCTTGGGGGTGGAAGGTGGTGACAAATGAGTTACCACAAGAATTGTGCTTTGGCCCCAGCTATTCAAAATACATATCAACAATTTACATGAGGAAATCAAGTGTCATGTTTGTTGACAACAAAAAAAAATCTAGATGGAACTGTATGGTGAATAGGATGTCAAGATACTTCAAGGTGATTTAGACAAATGAGTTAGAGGAAAAATACCTGGCAGATACAATACAACATGCCTCAGCCAAGATATCACAAAATTTGTAGAGGAAACAGAAATGGAGAAAGGAGGGGACTGTTGCATACTCTCTCTGAAAGAAGAGTATTTATGATACTTCTTACCACAATGGTATACTAGGTGGTGGCCTTCAATGTCCATCACCAAGAGAGCTTGGCAGCACCATAATTAACCAAGCTGGTTAAGTCCTAAAGGACATAGCTGCTAAACTGGGTCTGTGATAAGGGAATGAACAAGACAGGGAAAACATATTTGACCTCATTCTCACTAACCTGCCTGCCACAGATGCTTCTGTCCATGATGATGTTGTTACAAGTGACCGCCACAAAGTTCTGTCTTTACAATTGGGATACCATCCATTGTGCTAACTGCTAAATTTTTAAACAGATCTATCATCCAGTGGCTGTCCATGAGATGCTTTGAGCCAGCAGCAGGACTGTACTCCAACATAACCTGCAACCTTATGACTTAGCATATCCCTCACCCTGCCATTACCATCAAGCCATGAGATCAACCCTGGTTCAAGGTAGAATGCAGGAACGCAGTGAATAAATGAATAAAAAGATGATGCTGAGCCACCCTCACAATTCCCCAGATTGTGTATAGAAGTAGAAGAAGAAAGATTGACAAAAGGGAATTGAGCCTGAAACCCATGCCAGTCCATTATTTACACATGCAGATAGGGTGGAGAAAACTGAAAGAAATGCATTTTGGGATAAGGAGGTAATGGTAAACTTCCTTGCCTATTTCCTTATCATGTTAGCAGAGAAAGGTTCACCCCAAAATATCCACAGCTAAGGCTAAATTTTATATTGCTTCGTCCACTATACACGTGCTCAGGAATAGAAACCAGATACCGAGAAACAGTTTGAACTGCTGCTGCTTATGGTGATGAATGGTTAACACCCACAGAAATCTCAGTAAACAGTGATTCTCACCAGCCAGGAGGAAAGGTTGCAAGGAGTACTTACAGGCGTACTCTCCGTGGACTCCGATGCTGACAGATAGAGGTTAGCCTGTTTTTAAAGAAAAACACAGAAAGACATTACAAAGCAGTAAGAATAACGAGTTGCAGAGAGCAGCAGGGTATTTGCAAGGAAACAGATCAAACAACTTAACTCTAGTGGTCATGGGCAGCACAAAATAAAATACACTGAGATGGTAGTAGGCAATGGTCGTATTCCAACAATGCACCAGAATCTTCATTTAAATGTGGTGCAGCAAATGATGCTTTTACCTTCTGTACTTAAAAAAGTACTGCACTCTAACATGCCAAATAATTGCATTATTCACCTTGAATTTTGAACTGCAGGATATTAGTGCAAAAGGCAGCTGATATGCTGCTCCTTGCTTTACTCTAATAACAAAGATCACAATTCTATTCCATTTTTTTTTGTTATTCAATTGCAAAAACATAAAAGAATCTATTACATTGTTTGCAGTACAGATTCAGGATTAGATCTGTAGTCTGAATCCATGAATCAAAACTCCAGCCCATTACGTATTTAATTTTTTAAAAAATCCCCAGAACAAAGAAGTAAAACTGACAAATGGCTCATACTGATCTGACTCATGTTGTACATTTCAAAATGGAGTTCCAGTACATACATATGTTTGTTTCCATGTATTACTTGACTTTAAAATGTGTTTTTTTTTCCTTTCAGTCTGTAATGGGCCCAGTCCGAGGAAGTACCTTACTGGGAGAACACATTTTATGAATTTTTTTTTTGTTTCCTTGTTATGAATAGCATTTGGGTTTGCCCATTTTGAGTTCCCAATAGGTAAAATGAGTGCATTCCAACTGAAATCAGCCATACTAATGAGAAAGATTACAGAATTTCAAATGCAAATTTAAATGAGTGCATGCTGCATTTCCAAGATTTTAAAAAATTGTCATATAAACTTCAAGTAGGAAGCTGGTCCCATTCACAAAACTGGTCACAGTTCTGGAACAAACTAATTTGAATGCAAATGTCTACTGACCATAACCATTGTATAACCTTAAAGTTGTTTTTTCAAATTTTAGCTGTAGTTTTAGGTATAAATTTATAAATATTTACCTTAAGTAACTGATGACTATATATTGATGAAAATAAATGGTCAATATCAATTTTAAGTCCTTTAGTTTTTAAGCCATGTTATTCCCAGGTGAAAAATGAACACTGTTTAAAAATGTTTACTGTGCTATGATAAATCCAGTTCCAGCTTCATCCATCATCTTTCTGTTTGTTGACTTACACTGGCTTCCGACTAAGCAAGATCTCAATTTTAAAATGCTCATCTTGTTTTCAAATCCAACCACAGCCTCTCCTCCAGATCTACAACTGAGATACCTGCACCCCTCCAATTCCAAATTGGGCATTGCCAATTTTAAGGCTTCAACATTGGTGGACATGCCTTCAGCTGTCAAGGAACTAAACTCTAGAAATCTCGCCATGAAACTTTCTGCCTCAATTTTCACCTTTGCCATGCTCCTTGAGATCATCTTTTTGTCCAAACAATAACCAATTTCCTTAGTATCTTACATGAAGTGGTGTGAGATTTTAGATGACAATGCTCCGTCAAACATTTTAACATGTTACATGTGCTTTACAAATGTAAAATATTGTTGTACTAGTAATAAAAATGTACCAGTTTTCCACTCTTGAATATAATAAAGGAATAACTTGAAGCAGGAAAAATTTGAAGCAGGAAAAATAAACTAGCATAAACGTTCTTGCACATTGCCTATTGTAAGGGATCGTTGAAGGTGTTATGGTTTTAAATATCTGAATAAATTTGAGGAGAAAAACCTATAATTGGAAAACAGCACAGTTCCAAGTAAAAGTTGCATCAGATTACAAGTTGTACCCAAAGACGAAACTCTATCCCTGATGTTTAAGAACAGATCATAGAACCATCGTAGCTTGGCTAAGGATCGTACGCAAACTTTGAGCCAGAAGTTTGTAAATTCAAATCATGGCAGAAAGAAGGCATACCAACTAAAGAGCTTTACGATTTCACCACAACCAGCAACCAGAGACCATCTATTTCATCTTATTCCTTTCTGTTCAGAAATGCGTGACAATAATTGGACACTCTTGTCCTAATTGCAGAAAGCTTCAAGCACTACTTGTGTTTCCAGAGCTCGCTCACTACTTTGCTTAGCTCTGCTTTGGCTAGCTGTTTGGGTGGTAGCATTTCAAAGGTATGACCACAGTGGAAGATGTTCAAATGGAGCTTGTAATGTGGAGTAGATGGAGTGACTGCAGAACAATTATGCTCACAGTGCTGACAAAGTGACAAGACAAACATTCTTGCTCCTCTTGGCTCTACACTGAGCTATTATAAAAGCATGCTGGAGGATTCTTTCAGAGGTCCCTTTAAGGAATATTCATTAGGCTAATGTAGGTCTAGAAATACTTATTAATGTTGAATGCCTTATTCAAAAGGCAACACATCTGACAATGCAGCACTCAGTTTGTATCATAATGAAATAACAGCATTAATTTTGTGCTGAACGTCCCAGGGTTGGACTTGGGCTCAATCTTTTGACAAAGGAGAAAATGGTACCACTGAGCCATAGTAGGGACTGCAGATGCTGGAGAATCTGAGATAACAAGGTGTAGAGCTGGATGAACACAGCAGGCCAAGCAGCAGAGGAGCCTGGACACTTCTTCAGAAATGGGGGAGGGGAAGGGGATTATGAAATAAATAGGGAGAGAGGAGGAGGCCGGGGAGAAGATGAAGTTAGGAGAAGATAGGTGGAGAGGAGACAGACAGGTCAAAGAGGTGGGGATGGCGCCAGTAAAGGTGAGTGTAGGTGGGGAGTTAGGGAGGAGATAAGTCAGTCCAGGGAGCGGGATGAGGTTAGTAGATAGGAGATGGGGGTGGGGCTTGAGGTGGGAGGAGGGGATAGGTGGGAGGAAGGACAGGTTAGGGAGGCGGGGACGAGCTGGGCTGGTTTTGGGATGCGGTAGGGGAAGGGGAGATTTTGAAGCTTGTCAAGTCCACATTGATACCATTGGGCTGCAGGGTTCCCAAGCGGAATATGAGGTGCTGTTCCTGCAACCTTTGGGTGGCATCGTTGTGGCACTGCAGGAGGCCCAGGATGGACATGTCGTCTGAGGAATGGGAGAGGGAGTTGAAATGGTTAGCGGCTGGGAGGTGCAGTTGTTTCGTGCGAACCGAGCGTAGGCGTTCTGCAAAGCGGTCCCCAAGCCTCCGCTTGGTTTCCCCGATGTAGGGGAGGCCACAACGGGAACAGTGGATGCAGTATACCACATTAACAGATGTGCAGGTGAACATCTGCTTGATGTGGAAAGTCTTCTTGGGGCCTGGGATGGGGGGTGAGGGGGGAGGTGTAGGGGCAGGTGTAGCACTTCCTGCGGTTGCAGGGAAGAGTGCCGGGTGTGGTGGGGCTGGAGGGGAGTGTGGAGCGGACAAGGGAGTCCCGCAGAGATTGGTCCCTCCAGAAAGCAGATAAGGGTGGGGAGGGAAAAATGTCTTTGGTAGTGGGGTCGGATTGCAGATGGCGGAAGTGTCGGAGGATGATGCATTGGATCCGGAGGTTGGTGGGGTGGTACATGGAGGAACGTGGGAGGAATTGTCCTCACCCTCAACAACTTCTCTTTCAATTCCTGCCACCTCCTACAGACAAAAGGGGTGGCCATGGGTACCTGCATGGGCCCAAGCTATGCTTGCCTCTTTGTGGGTTACATGGAACAATCCCTCTTCCGTACCTACACTGGCCCTAAACCCCGCCTCTTCCTCCGTTACATTGATGACTGTATCAGCGCTGCCTCGTGCTCCCACGAGGAGCTCAAACAGTTCATCCACTTCACCAACACCTTCCACCCCAACCTGCAGTTCACCTGGACCATCTCTGATACCTCTCTCTCCTTCCTGGACCTCTCTGTCTCCATCTCTGGCAACCACCTGGAAACCGATATCCATTTCAAGCCCACTGACTCCCACAGCTACCTAGAATACACTTCCTCCCACCCACGTTCCTGAAAAAATGTCTTCCCCTATTCCCAATTCCTTCGCCTCCGCCGCATCTGCTCCCAGGATGAGGCATTCCACTCCCGTACATCTCAGATGTCCTTGTTTTTCAAGGACCGCAACTTTCCCTCCTCAGTGGTTGAGAACGCCCTCCGCCTGTCTTTCGCATTTCCCGCGACTCATCCCTCACACCCCCTCCCCGCAATAACAACCAAAACAGAATCCCCCTCGTCCTCACGTACCACCCCACCAACCTCCGGATCCAACGCATCATCCTCCGACACTTCCGCCATCTGCAATCCGACCCCACCACCAAAGACTTTTTTCCCTCTCCACCCTTATCTGCTTTCCGGAGGGACCACTCTCTCCGTGACTCCCTTGTCCGCTCACACTCCCCTCCCGCCCCACCACACCCGGTACTTTTCCCGGCAACTGCAAAAAGTGCTACACCTGCCCCTACCCCTCCCCCCCCCCCCCCCCACCCCCATCCCAGGCCCCAAGAATACTTTCCACATCAAGCAGATGTTCACCTGCACATCTGCTAATGTGGTATACTGTATCCGTTGTTCCCGTTGTGGCCTCCTCTACATCGAGGAAACCAAGCGGAGGCTTGGGGACCGCTTTGCGGAACACCTACGCTCGGTTCGCACTAAACTGCACCTCCCAGTCGCGAACATTTCAACTCCCCCTCCCATTCCTCAGACAACATGTCCATCCTGGGCCTCCTGCAGTGCCACAACGATGCCACCCGAAGGTTGCAGGAACAGCACCTCATATTCCTCTTGGGAACCCTGCAGCCCAATGGTATCAATGTGGACTTGACAAGCTTCAAAATCTCCCCTCCCCCTACCGCATCCCAAAACCAGCCCAGCTTGTCCCCGCCTCCCTAACCTGACCTTCCTCCCACCTATCCCCTCCTCCCACCTCAAGCCCCACCCCCATCTCCTACCTACTAAACTCATCCCGCTCCCTTGACCTGTCCGTCCTCCCTGGACTGACCTATCCCCTCCCTAACTCCCCACCTGCACTCACCTTTACTGGCTCCATCCCCGCCTCTTTGACCTGTCTGACTCCTCTCCACCTATCTTCTCCTAACTTCATCTTCTCCCCGGCCTCCCCCTCTCTCCCTATTTATTTCATAATCCCCTTCCCCTCCCCCACTTCGGAAGGAGGGTCCAGGCCCAAAACGTCAGCCTTCCTGCTCCTCTGATGCTGCTTGGCCTGCTGTGTTCATCCAGCTCTACACCTTGTTACCACTGAGCCATAGCTGGTTGCCCTAATTACTTTTCTTTAATTCCATCGATCTTGGAAAGGACGTCTACTTGTCTTTTAAATACCTTAAATATATATAAAATGGAGTATTTGTGGTTATAGTTTTAAAAAGGAGGTCCTTTCTACTTGCGTTTCTAATTTTGTTTTTATTTCCCAATTTCTAACATCTTTGCTGAAAAATATCTGTTGTTGCTTCGACTATAGACCAGCAGGAACATCAGGACTCCACGAAGGTACAAACAGGTGTTATTATGCTCGAATTAGATTTTTGTCCTTTTTTATATAATATCCAAAGAACTCTGAACCCTGAGCTTCGTCACCAACCTTACCCTATCCCAATTTTTCCAAGCCCTATTTGATTGTGGTTCTAAACAGCCAGTCAATGATTGGGGTTGATCACAATGAAACATGTATATTTTATATAAAGCAAATCAGCAAAGTTATTTGATGGAAGAAAGTAAGTTTTTCCTGAGAGGCATGGCACAGCAAAAGTAGAACCAATTTAATCCTACATGGTTGCATTTTGATTACCAAATACTCAATTTATCCTCCCTAGCAAGTCAAAGTATCAAATTGTATTCAACATTTATCACAAAGAAAAACTTACATATTTAGTTTCTCTCCCAACTGATTTTTGCACAGGATTAATGGCCTGAAAAAGAAAAATATTCAACACTTAATTCTCATCTGAAACAGAATGGGGAGGTAGCATTCTTCATTAATGACATTTGAGGCAATCACTTAGTGGTCAAAAAAGACTTACCAATGTGCAAATAGGTCTGCAAGGCAAAGCAAAAGCTGAAAAACCTTTCATAAGAACTATGATTTTACTACAGATCCTTAAATTATCTTTGGGAGTTTACGTTAAAGAGAAGACAGCCCGGGGCAACTGGTGACAAGAGCGGGACCAGGCAGCTCAAGGTGGCCAGCGGTGAAGAGTGGGAGTAGGCAGCCTATGGTGGCGGTAACAGCAACGGGCTGCAAGGCAGCTAGAGCAGGCAGCCTGGGATGACAGCAAGCCGGAAGCAGGGGAGATCAAGCCCTTGTCAGGAGTGACAGCTCAGAATGGCTACGTGCTTATGGACTGTGGCGTCGAACTGTTAATTGTGTTTCTTTGTTTTTCTACTTTTTAGTAAAAAGGACTGTAATATTTAACTTTTTCAAACTTTGTTTTCCTTATTTTTCCATTTTGTAACTAAGATCCAAATCTAGGAACTTTTGTAGCAAAGATGGTGCCGTAAGTACTGACCTGTAAACTTTTCACTGTACTCACATGAGTACGTGACAATAAACTTAATTCAAATGATTAAAATTCAAATCTCTTAACTACTGAACAATAAGTAAATTGACATAGGATTAATAGATCACAGCATTGAATACGTGGCTTAAAGATTGGTGTGAGAGAAATGCAGTCAGATTCCTGAGGCATTGGGGAAAGTAGGAACAGTATTCTTGGAAAGACTTCACCTGAGCAATGCTACAACCAATGTCCAGGTGAGCTATATAACTAGGGCATGCAGGACAGAGCTTTAAACCAAGTAGCAGAGAAGAGGGCTCATGTAAGGGTAGATATGCTAAGTTTAAAGTAAAGCAAAAGACAGTGTGGAGAAATGAAATGGTAACGATAATGAGATAACTGATTCACTGATGTCCTTTACTGAAGCAAACTGCCATCCTTACCTGGTTCTGCCTACATGTGACTCCAGGCCTACAGCAATGTGGTTTACTCTTAACTGCCCTCTGGCAATTAGGGATTGACAATAAATGCTGCCTATCCAGTAATACCCACAACCCATGAATGAATTATACCAAGAAAAATGTGATTTTGACAGGAAATAAGCATACAAACAGAGCAAGCAAATAGTCACAATGGAAAAAATGTTAAAAAAGTATTGAAAGTTTTTTTATATCTGAATGCACGTAGTATTTCAAAAAGTAAATGGATGAACTTATAGTACCAATAGTAGTAAATGAGCATTTTCTGATAATCATTACAGAAACAAGGCCTGAAAGTGACTATGCTAGGTTCTGAACATTCATGGGTGTTTGTTATTTGAGGGGGTCAGTGGTGGAAAAAAAAGTAGCTGAGTAGCTCTGTTAATAAAGAGTAAGACTAGTACAAGTCATGATAAATTAGCTTGGTTGGGAAGATCAAAATTGAGTGGAGATAAGAACAGCAAAGAAAAAATCATTGGTGTGAGGGATTTATAGCCTTGTGACAGTAATCAAATGGTGGCACAGAATATAAACCAAGAAATAAGATTTTGTTTAAAAAAACGTACTCCTACAGTCATGAGTGATTTTAATCTTCATATGGATTACATGCATCAAATTTAATAAAGATAATTTAGAGAGTGAGTTAATTGAATATATTCTGCAGAGTTTATTAGAACAGTACATTCTAGAACCAACCAGGGAACCAGCCATTTTAGATTATAGGATTAACACTTAACTTTAAAGGAACATTTAGGAAACAATGATAATAACATGCAAGAATTTCACATTCAGTTTGAAGGCAAGAAATGTGGTTCTCAAACTAGTGTCATAAAATTAAATAAAAACAATTGCAGGGGTATGAAGATAGATTTGGCTAAGGTACAGTAGGAAAAGATTGAAAGAGAAAACAATAGGGAAGCAGTGCCAGGTATGTAAGGAGTTAAGTCTGGTGAACATATCAAAGGAGTAAAAGTCCTGTTTCACAATCATCGCAGGGAGGGGAACTGCAGCTTCATCAGCCCCAACCTTCACCTCTGTCTTCCCTTTTCCCTCCAGCCTGAACGTGGTGACATTTTTGATACATAAACATGCAACCACAGTCCGATACATGTCGCCTGTATCTAAGGCTGAGTCGCAGGAACTGGACCAGGTTCAAAAATGCCCCAGGAGAAACTCCAAGAAAAAGAACAGCTCTATGTCCCAGACTTAGAGGGGGAGGGATGTCGTTACTGTAACAAAGTCAGCCAGGCAGACCCCATAGAATATATTTTCCCTGATTGGATCGGGTTAACAACCCCAATCAGGAAACTGTGGCTGACAGATATAAACAGGAATGTCAGAGGCTCTGTTCACTCTGACAACTGGCTTTGAGGAAGCTGGACCAGTGTCAAGTACTATGCATGTGTATATAAAGGGTGACACGGTGACAGGATATCAGCCTCTGGGGAGTTATTTCACAAGAGAACCCCAACTTTTAGCTGTAACAGAGAGAGAAATAAAAATTTCCACATTCAGCTTCAAGACCCCAGGAACTGCTGAAAGCTAAAACTAAAAATCCTGGTTCTGTGGGAGCTTGATCCGACCCCTTCAGGCTGCTTCTATTGTTCCACTTTAAAGAAAAAAACCCAAAGTTTGACGAGCTGTTTACTTTATTGTCTTTAAGCAGACCTCTCATTACCTGTGTTTCAACCTTTCTTCATAAAAAAAACTGGACAAAATATACATTTTAAAGCCACAGTTTCACCACAAGGGGCATAATTCAGTTCATGTGATTATTTAGGGTTATTCCCACATGTAGGTCATAACACAATTTATCTACAATAATAACCATAGCATCACCACAAAAATAAAACCTGATCAATAAGATACAAAACAACCATCATCTCGTTGCACAAGACATCAGAACCAAAAATTCACAAAACTTGCAGTCGTATTTAGTCGAGTATTTTGACACAGAATTTTGATGAAACAAGCAAATGAAGTGTTTGATTCCACAGAAATTTTAAAATGTTACTGAAAATATTTAAACAGTAAATCAGCAAATGTACATGTTCTTATTGTTGTGATAAAGAGTCACCAGACTCAAAAAGTTAACTGCTCTTTCTTCCCACTGATGCTGTTAGACCTGCTGAGTTTCTCCACCAATTCAGCAAAAACATCAAACTTCCTAGGTTAATGCAAGTGTCAACAATTCATGCATTCTCACTCACGTACTTTGTGTGCTTCTGAGTATTGAAGCTTCTGCAAGGAGTTGGGAGTAGAACTCGAGGAACGCTAGAAGAGGGGAGGGTGAAATGTGAAGACATTGTTAAAAGTTAACGTGAGTTTGGTAGGAGCAGGGAGTAAGACTGAAAAGTGTTTGCTCAATTCCTTCATTACCATTGGCAGTGGATCCTTGAGCAATTGCTCAATAGTAGCATACAGTTCCTCAGACTGCTGCCTGAGACTCTCTGATTCAAGTAGGAACTGTGTGAAGGTAAACCATGTTATATATGTTAATTGTATAATTGCATATCACAACTTTAACAATACTTATTCATGTTGTATTCATAAAGCTTACTTGTGAGTGGGTTTTCCCAAATGTGCTGGCTGCTGGAGATTCCTCAGAGTCACTGATTGCTTCATCAATGGCCTAGCAAAAGTAAACATAAAATCCTTCACAAACAAGCCCAAAAAATTATCATGTGGATCTAAGGATCTTCCCTGGTCAAAAAGAGTGCATCTTAATAACTTACTTTCAAACACCATCACTACCCCCTTGCCCTACCTACCAAATGATTTTTTCCCCCACCTTCAATCCTGTAGCATAAAGACACACATTGTAGCCAACCATGAAAAAATGCATCCATTAATTGGTCCATCTTTGGACTGAATACTAATATCACCTTCTTCCCTGAAAGTAGAATAGGTCACCTGCAATACATGGAGCTAAACAGGAAGATAGCCCAGATGGACTGAATGATTTTCTCAGTCTCTCTACAATCTTGGGCTTCAATAATAAAAAGTATTTAACTACAGCCTTACTCCTGTTTTTGAAACACTTTAGTTATTATAAGAATTTTAAGAAGAACTGGAACTCTGCAGTTTACTCATTTCTTAGCACACAGAGTTGAGTAAGATTATTAAATATCAACCAAACATAGCAACTTTCATTATTTACTTCTTATGAACCACATTACAAAGAAATGTCTAGGAGCCGAGGTATCCTATTCACTACAATGTTTCACAAAGTATTTGATTAACTCCATTTGCACTCTTTCACATAAACTTCAATCTTTCTGAATGAAATATTTTAAAGGAGTTACAGTAAGAATTTGATCTTGTGGTACATAATAGAACCGCTGTGTCTAAGCCAGAAGTTCCGAGTTCACTTTCTACCCCAGGACAAGGAAGATGCATTCATAACTCAACCAAACACTGAGTCGCAAACTGCCAATCCTTCCGACACATGCTAATGAAAGCAGTAAGACTAGGAATGATTCCAAGAAATGAAAAGTAAGTTGGAACCTCCAACAGCATTGTCCATAGCTCCAGACTATGGCATATATATAAAAATACATAGTGTCACAGCAGCTCAGACTCCAAGTAAACTGCAACACACCACCAACGCAGGAGTTAAAACAATGAAAGGCCTAACACGTGAGCAAAGATGGCTTGTTCAGAAAACACAGAACTCAATGTTTCAAAAATTGAAAAAAATTAACAAAAAGAACAAATTAAGTGGAAGTAGAAGAATAAAAGTGAAATCGGGTTGAACAAAAATAACAAACTATTGAAAAGATCAAAAAGGGGTGAAAAAGGAAATAACACAATATGATTTTTTTTAAAAAAGAACACAAATGCCTCATATGGAAACATAGAGGGAGAAGCCTATTAACTGGAACAGAAAGGGTAAAAATGGTATTAAAAAATTAACTGCCTAAGACCATGTCTCATCTCGCAATCTTGCACCTTTCCTTTTCAGTTTCATGTAGAAGCTTCCCATTTTCAATTTCAAATTGTCTTATTTAATCATCCTCTTTCTCTCTCATTCTATATGCCTCTAATCTTTCTTCAATCACCTTGTTGAACAATTTTTCAGGTTTTAGAATATGACTAATTCAGCCTTGTTGCTTTTTCTCAATATGTATTCACTAATGATCTGTCCTCCTCCATCACTGGAGAATTTCTTCATCTCTTGTTTTTTTCTCCAGTTGATCCATTGCTTCACAGAATCATAGAATCCCTACAGTGTGGAAAGAGGCCATTTGGCCCAACAAGTCCACACCGCCCCTCCGATGAGCATCGACCCAGACCATTCTCCTACCCCTGCATTTTCCCATGTCTAACCCACTTAACATCCCTGGGCACAAAGGGCAATTTAGCATGGCTAATCCACACAGAGTGAATATGCAAACTCCACACAGACAGTCACCCGAGGGTGGAATTGAATGCAGGTCTCTGGCGCTGTGAGGCAGCAGTGCTAACCACTGAGCCACCATGCCGCCCCTTCCAGAACAATATTGCACAACCTTTTGTTCTTTGGGTGTCTAGGAATAGTTAAAATAAAACTGCAATTCTTCCTTGCGTATTTCACATGATGGAGGTTCCAGGGTTCAAAACTGAAATAATAACCAAGATTTTGTTATAGCAGAACATCTTGCAATGTTAAATGTTAAAAATAGGCCTTTTTTCTTCATCCTGAAACTCAACAATGGCTTGCGCCTTAAGTGTGAGCAACCAGGTATTTGAAACCCTAGTAGATAATGGCACCAAAAATCTATTATATTAATTAATGGGATTTAATGATTGAGAAGGAAAAACAACAAAGGAGACAGGGAGGATGTATTAATTCAGATACAGAAACAGAAATATCAAGGAAAGAAAGACTGTAATGAATTTTGTTTCTTACAAAACAGAAAAAAAGTTTTTTTTTCAAAAACTCCAACAATTTACTATCTGTAGAAATTCTGTCAAATATCGTACAACAGTTTTCTAAAATCAGAGAGAATGGAGAGAACCTGAGGGGAAACAGTGCAAGGTGCAAAGGTTGGAGACAGAGAAAAAGCTCAAAATTCCAAATTTAAAATTGACAAGAGAATTCAAAAGTAATGTCATGGTTGCAGAATGGGTAAGTTGGTTGGTAAAAATAAGTTTAGGTTGTTTCATTAAATTGTTCATTCTTTCAACATTGAAACTCACTAGATGGTAGTTTTCATTATGTTTTAGCTTTTTTATATATATTTAACTTTTTTACTATTTAAGTATCTCACAGTATTTCAGAGGCTATTTTCTTAGAGTTCTTTAATTTGCTCACTGTCTTAGGGTGTCAGATTTTACTGTTACTGGGTCAAAATCCTGGAATTCTCTCCCTAATAGCTTCTCTACATTGAAGGATGCAGCTCACCACCACCTTCTCAAGGACATCCAGGGATGGGCAATAAATGGTAGCCAGCCAGCAATGCCCATATCCCAACAGAGAATAGAATGGTTAAATGGTCAGGGTGTCAGTAATTTAAAAGTCAGTGAATGGATTACTATGGGAGGCTTGTTGGAATCCACTACCTTCTGTTCTGTGTGAGAACACATTGTATACTTTACACATCCTAAAAACCACAAAGTCAGAAAATTGCTTGAGCTTCAAAACTGATTTTCAAAGCTGGCGGAACAGCTGAAGCCACTACAGCAAATCCAGCAGTTCAGGTTTTCTCATGCATATATTCCAGGTCATGGTCACCCCACAAATATTGGTGGTGAGGGGTAAGTAACAAGAAACAGAGTCAGAGGAAGACACAGGCAGTTCAGAAATCCTCCAAGTCAGTGGCATTCATGAACCAGTTTTTCAGTTTTGAATAATGGGAAAGGTGACAGAACCTTGAAGGAATGTAATAAGAATCAAATCCCTGAGCACAAGGATTTTTAACTGTACACTGCAAAAGAAGAGTATAAATGAAGCACTGGGAAATCAATAGTTATGGAAATAGATACACCTTTTCATAATGGTAAATATGATTCATTAATGGTATACTGAAGACACTAAGTAGATTAGCATTACTTTATGTTTGAAAATCATCTAATCCAGGTGGAATACATCCTAGATCGCTCAAAGGACTGAATGTTAAAATTCATTTTAACTTTTCCATCATCACTGCAGATAGGAATTGTGCCTTACAGCAGTATGTTTGCTATTTTTATAACCCTATTCCTGTAAGGAATTTTATAAATCCTAAGGAAGCCTCAGATGAAGTATTGTGGCACCACATTTCAGCAAAGGCTTAAGGGCTTTAACAATGCAAAAGAAAGAATGTTTACCAGGATGAAGGAGTTTGATTATGAGGAAAGTGGAAAAAGCTAAGAATGTTCTGCATAGAATAGAGAACATTTAAGAGTTGACTCAAGATTGTTTTCAAGATAAGAGGTTTTGATAGAGCAGATAGAGAAAATAATTCCCTTTGGCAAGTAATTAGTTAGTAGTTATGGATTCAAAATCATTGGCAAGATTCAGAGTGGAAATGATAATTTTTTCACTGAGTTGTCATGATCTGGAACCAGCTACCAGAAAAAGATTGTGGAAGTGGATCCCATAGTAATTTTAAAAGGGAGTTGATCAGGGTCTTGAATCGAGGAGTTCAGGTTTTCTCATGCACATATTCCGCAGCTTAAGTGGTTATAGGAGAAAAAACAGGGATGTGGCGCAAAGCATGATAACTGTTTCACAGAGATGTAACTAAGCACAATTTATCTTTCAAGGAGCCAATAAAAGAATGATAGACCAAACAGCCTCCTTTCTATGCTGTAGGTTTCTATGACTGCATAATTTTACAACTAAATGGACTGCACAGATTGCTGTGGCATTAGCAGCAGTAAATGTCAATGATTAAAACAACTAAAAATTTCACAATTATTACGGCATTAAAATGGTCACTTTGGCATGGACTTCAATCTCATGTCTAATTTTAATTAATGCTTGCATATCAAATTGCTTTCACTCACATGGCTACTTCAAACTGTTCAATAAAATACAGGTAATTCTTTAACATGGGCCTCCCGCTCGATTTCAACTGGAGTATATGTCAATGTTGTCAACTTGTTTAAAAAGTACATTTAGATAAACTATATCAGAAAATTGTTCTTTTCATTGTTAAAATTGGAAAAGCAGTAAATAGATGGTAATCCAAACAGCACTTTAAAACTCATGCAGAAGGATGATATAATATTTTCATTCATCCAATGTGCTATGCCTACCCCTGCTGGTCAAATCAGGTAATTACCTCAGAGACAGTAAGAACTGCCGATGCTGGAGTCAGAGATAACACAGTGTGGAGCTGGAGGAACACAGCAGGTCAGGCAGCATCAGAGGAGCAGGAAAGCTGACATTTCAGGTCAGGAGCCTTCTTCAGAATGCCAACTTCTGAAGAAGGGTCCCAACCCGAAACGACAAATTTCCTGCTCCTCTAATGCTGCCTGGCCTGCTGTGTTCCTTCAGCTCCACATTGTGCTATCCCAGGTAATTACCTAGTGGCAGCCAATATTTTTACAGCATGCAAGAGACTTCCACATATTTCAACAACAAAAACTTAGATCTATATAGTAACTTTAACATAGTCAAACATCCTAAAGGACTTCACAGGAGCATTATCAGAAAAAATCTCAAATTTTAAGGAGCGTCTTGAATGAGAGGCAGGTAAGAAGATGGAGATATTTAAGGTGCAAAATCATGAGTTTGGAACCTAGACAATAAAAAGCCTTAATGGTGATCTAAAGGAAATCAGGAATGCACAAGAGCCCAGAGTTGCAGGCATGTAAAGCTTTTGAAAGTTCGCAGTTCCAGAGGAGTTCAGATAGATGAGGAGGGGTCTAACCCCAGGAAAGTGAACAAAAAGATAAGGATTGCAAAGCGTGGATGAAGTCAAGTTTATCAAAGGTGAGGATGACCCAGAAAACATTGGAACAGATGGATCTAAATGTAACAAATGCATGGATCAGGGTTTCACCAGTAGATGGACTGAGGTATGGGAAATTTAACAACAGTGGAAATAAGAGATTTAAGGGAAATGGGACCAGAGGCTAGGGAAAGCATAACATTATAGCATTATGAATGGAATAGCTCAGCCTCAGTCAATGGCCAGGGAGAAGGGTTGGATCAGGTAGCCAGGTAATGGAGTTTATGGTTAAAGTCAAATACATGTGGGAAGAGTCGACGAAAGAAAAGGTGGTTCTCAAGGATAAGATGCTCTCAGAGACACAGTTTGTCTATTTCAGTGCCCATTACTGTAATTGGAACTCTAAATGGATTCTAACCAGGCCTCTGCACAGATGTGGCATAGCTCCCACACTGATTTTTATACTCTGCTGTTCTCATCATTCAGAAAACACTCCAATTTAGGTTTCTTAATAGTAGAGTGGTTGATTATTCTTGCTCACTGCTACAATTTTGCCCACTCTTTTTATCAACTTCCAAACCCGCATGTAAAACCCATTGCACTGCCTAACCTGATGATGTATATTCCATTATCTATTTATAAATAGAGATAATTTAAAATTTAAGGCTTTAAATCATCAGATTTAAATCACCAGAAGATAATGCTAGTTACATCCTCCCAATCTGATCGCATATCTGTTATGTCTATTCTCTGCTTCCTATCTCAAACCAATCAAAGTATTGTCTCCAAATTTCTGAGCTCTTATTTTTGATAACAGTCTTATATGTAGAATCACAGTAAATGCCTTCTGGACATCCATCTTAAATACTTCGAGTGCTATTCCAACATTATTACCACAACGTCAAAACCTCTCCTTAAATCAGGAGTATGATGCTTGACTGCAGCTCCAACCAGCATGCAAGAAACTTGAAAGCCCCCAAGAAAAAGCAGCTAGCTTGATTGTCACCTTATCTAACACCATCAACATGCACTCCCTCCATAGCACAGTGATTACAGAGTCATACAGCACAGAAACAAACGCTTCGTTCCAACCAGTCAATGCCGAACATAATCCCAAACTAAACTAGTCCCACCTGCCTGTTCCTGGCCCTTATCCCTCCAAACCTTTCCAATCATACATTATGCTGGTTGCTTCTGAGGCATGCAGCTAAGATTCCCAAAACAGAGGGTCCCAATGGGCAGGAGGATGGTCCACTCCTTACAAGTTCATCCAAAAGTTCCTGCAATTAGTATTGTCCTAGAATAACAATATTGTTTTGTTTTTTTGTCATTGATTTGTTACACTTCCAGTGGAGTTACGTTATGAGTCAAGCAGAAACTGTAAAGAAATCTACTTTCCTGCAAAGGATTTTTTTGGAATGGAGTAAAGAGCCCTATCTGTTCAATTTTTCCTGACAGAAATACCTTCTCAGTTCAGATATCCTTGGAAATCTTCATGAACCTTTTCCAGTGTCGCTACTTCTTTTTTAATAAGATGGGCATCAGAACAATTTATAGCTCACTGAATCTTACCACAAGTTCACATAGATTTAACATAACTTTTCTGCATTTTAATGGTATCATTAGAAATGAATCACATAGATTCATTGCTGGTTTTTCTTCAATGGCCTTCATAACCTGAATCAAGCTATACTGTGATCGGCATTTCTCATCTCTAAATCCTGCTGTTCCTTTATGCCATACAGAAACCTACTTTTCAATAAGATGGTGGATGTGATATGCCCATGAACCTGTGGTCTTGTCCTTTTAAGTGGTGGACATTACAGACTTGGGAAGAGCTGCTGAAGGGATGTTGGTGATTTCATGCTAAGCAACACTGATAGCTCACATTGCAGCTGCACATAGAAAGAAGATGTGTAGAAAGAGATATCAATCAAGCAGGTTGCTTTGGTTGCAAATGTCTCAAACCTTTTGTGTGTTGTTGTAGCTGCCCCAAGTTAGGTTAGTAGGCAGCTTGTTTGTTTTTCATAGAAAAAAAGTTTTTATTTCAAGAATGGTGGTAATAGCATTTTTATTGCATTAGGGAGGATGTTCTTCAGTATTAAAGGAGCATGTGGTTTGATCTAAGCATATAGCAGCCTTCACCATTCCAGAAATTGAACCAAATTAAGTAAGGAGATGCCTTTTCACAACCCATGTTTGTCTAATGCATGCAGCTAATTAAGTACTTTTGAAGTCCAGTCACTGTCATGATGCTGGTACACAAGAGCGAATTCATGTACAGTAAGCTCCCTCAAACAGTAATGGGTCAGGTCATAGTCAATCAGGAATCTATTTTTAGACATTTGTTGAGGGACCATTATTGGGAACAACATAGAAAAGCTCTCAGTTTCTTCTCATACTATTGCCATCGGATCATTTATTTTCAGTTGAGAGAATAAGCAGACTTTCCCTCCGAATATCAACACCTCCGACAGTGCAGAACTTTCTCAACACTGCTCTTAAGTGTCAGCCTTGAGTCTGCATTCAAGTTTTTGAACTGGAGCTTTAAACCATAACATTCTGACTCAAAGGTGAGAGTGCTACTACTGAGCAGAGGCTTAAAGCCCAACAATTTCCAAATGATTTTTTTCATCCACAACTCTTCCAGAAAATAAACTCCTGCATTCAGCATTCACATCAGTAATTGCTAAGCACACTAGTGTTGCAAGCTACGCTTCAGATTTTGCTTTGCTGAAATAAAGGTGATTGAATGGTGAATAAAACTGAAACTTTAAAAGTGTGACAATTTTGTACCACTGCATTTTCAGTTTACATATGTGTCTTCATTACAGCTGAATTCATGCTGTCACCCAATGGAGAGGTGAGACTATATACAGCTTCCACTCTTTTTTTAAGAAAAGATTCACATCCATGATTCTGAGCCACTTAAGATTCAACACCAGAAGTTCAGGTCAGCAGTATCTGAATGAAGACATTCATAAATCAGATTGCAGATTAGGATTCTTCAAGGCAAGAATTCACATTGACTTTGGCAAGTCATTTACTGCAGGTACTATGCTTCGGGATTATACCATGACAAAGAACCCATTGCAAAATACAGCATACTGCAAAACAAAGCATTGGAATGGTATTAACTTCAAGCAAGCATTTAACAGATAGCAATATATGAAATATTGTTAAATATGAAGATGATTTAAGATCTTTTACCTGCAACCCAAACCTCCCCAAGTTACCATCAGCAACATCAATCTTTAATCGATTTAATACTGAAATGTAAATCTCTATAGCTTGTTCACTTGTATAAAGAGGAAAGCAGGACTGTTAAAGCAAAGTTTCCTATGGCTGACACTGACCTTCTGCTCCAAAAGCAGTGTGTTTGTTGGTATTGCTGCAAAAGCCTTATAACTTGACTTGATCTTGTACTGCAGAAGAAGTGAGGGAAATAATCAAAAACTGAACAAGCAGTGAAAGTGAGCAATGCAGTAAAATTAGCAGCAAAACTAGATTTATTACCAAATAGAGGCGACATATGAAGATTATAATTTGAAGAGAATTTAAATCAAAAGTGTTGTACTTGTAGTTACAGCTAAGTTTTGTAATCCTGCAAGAAATTCATCTTAATGGTCATTAACATTGATTTCAATTTGAAATGCAAAATTTTAATGGTTAAAATGGGTAGTTTCCTAAAGTTTTCTAACTTTGTACATTGATACAATAAATAAAGTTGCTCTGTAGATTTATTTTGTGGTGTATTTATTAAAAACAGTTGAATTTTCCAATAAACTGAAGCAGAGTTTAAGGGTTGACAGGAAAAGCAGGTCTGCCCAGAAATCTCAAACACAACATCCTTATTTTGAAGAACTTTTTATTTCAGAAAAATCTCTTATTAAATGTTTAATGCAATTACATTGTCCACAATTGTACAAACTATATATATTGTTAAGAAAAGCAGGTTTTAGTATATGCTGTTCAATTTAACCACCTTAGGTATGAAATCTTGACAGAACGGAACTACAACAAAGCTGTTTATTACAGCTTAATTATTTCAATTATTAAAAAGACTTCTTTGTAAAAAGTCCACAAGTACATTGTTTTTCCTGTACATCTTAGTAATCTCCCTGCCAGATCATACACTATTTTATAGGATTTGTTTTAAAAAAAAACCTGCTCCTGGGAGATCTCCAATTTGCACTAAACAGAGTTACTTCTGTGCAGGAAGACTACCTGATTAGGACTGACAACTTGATGGGAAAAAGTATGTACAGATGTAAATATAAGAAATCATTTCATCATTTAACACATTGCGAATTAATGTCCTGCACTATCTGAATTCTTCAACAATTCTTTTATAAAGCTAAATACTCCAAAGCAAGAGAATAAACTAGAATGCGTCTATGGTGGTGCATTTAAATTGCTGAAAACTAAAAATCACGACAAATAATTTCAATAGATTTTCAAAGCAATTTTCAGTACCTCACCTAAAGTCTCGGAGTTATGCAAAAAGGGTTGAAATGCATATTTTATAACGGATTGCCATTAAGCAGTTTCTGAGCCTCAGAAATCTGCATGTAATACAATAAAGAATTGATCAAGATGTCTCAAGACCCAGATAGCAATTCTAGTAAAATCAGAAATGATGGGCAATGCTAAATTTTTCTCAGTAGTAGTAGAAGAGGAAGATTAGTCATATAAATAGATTTAAAGAACATCAATTATTTCATGCAGGTTACTTCAATTATTAAGGACAAAGTATCAAATGGTCATTCCAAGTGAAGAGTATTCATCATTATCTAGACCATGCAAAAGAAGGATATATAAAATACCTTTTGTGGTTTCTTTGTCTCAGTCTCGGTAGAACAGGGTAAAGATTGTGCTGGAGACTGTGTACCAGACCTTGAGAAATGTGATGATGGAGGAAGGGATTGGACTGAACCAGATGATGTTGTTATTTCAAGCCCTGGCTTAGGGAAATGTGCTGTAGGATGAGTTGGATTGATAACATTAGCATTGGATCTAGAGAGAGGAGAAAGGTGAAAAGATAACTGTCCTGGGCTAGTCGGTCTTAGTGAGAAAGAATAAATTGGAATAGGGGAATGGGAGCTCAGTCCTAATGATGAAGAGTGAGGGACTATTTGATTTTGGGCAGGAGACACAGTGGTTGACCTTGGTGTAGACAAAAGAGAACTAATATTCAATGGAGGAGGAGTGAAGGAACCAGACTGTGGTGAAGAGTTAACTGGAGCAGGTGATGAAGACATGGAGGTTGTGGAAGATGGAACAGACTGTTCTGATATGGAAGAAATATTGTAGGGTCTTGCAGAAGGAGAAAAGGAAGAAACTTTTGGAGGAAGAGACACAGTATCAAGCTTTCCAGGACAGTAATTCAAGCTTGAATAATGAGGCGAGGGGGAAATTTGACTGGATCTTTCAGAGGGTAAAATGAAATCTGATAAAAGAGGTTCCAACTCTTGCGCTGGGGAGAATGAACTGATTGGTGAGGAACGACGTGAAGAAAATTGTCCTGTGCTGGAAGAAAGTAAACCATGTCTTTGGGACGGACAATGGGGTAACGATTGGGGCTTTGTAGCATGAGATAATATCATTGTGGGTGCAGAGTTGCTTAGCCTCGAGTAATTAGCATGATGTTTTATGGATGAGAGACAGGGTGAAGTTTCCGCTGAATCTGTGGAAATGTTTCCAAGTTTTTCAGATAAAGATGTAAACGAGCAATGAAGAGTCTTTCTTCCATGCTCTGGGGACAAAGGAGTGGTTAAGGATCCCGATGAGATTGAAGAAAACCCTGCAAGTATTCCAGAAGAATATGGCAGAGACTTCAGTGGTGTGGGGGAAACTGTTTTGGTTTTTTGACAGGAAGATGATGCTTGTACAGTAGTCAAAACTGGAGATTTATTAGGCGATTGTGAACCAATGGTGCTCAGGGATGTTGCCGAAGAAACTGGTTTTGATTGTTCTGAGGAGTTGGATGACACAGAGGGCCGCTTTCCAGACCTTAGAATTGAAGTCAATAATGACAACTGAGTTGGAGGAGAAGGTAATACAGTGGATTTTGCTGCAGTCTTGTGTGTTGAAGTTTGACTGGAACAGCTATGAATTCTGGGTGAATGGCATGAAATTCCCTGGGCAGTGGAAGAACGTATATTCTGGTTTGAAGAATGAAGTGACGACTGCACAGGAGTTGAAGAGCACATGGTGGACCGTGAAGAAGGCAAAGATGAGGAGCACCAGGTTGGAGAAGACTGCAAATCACTACAGCTCAGGAAGTGTAATGGGGATGGGGGATAGGAAGATGAAGCTGTTTTAGACTTCACAAAGGAAGATCTGAATGGAGAAAGGGAGCTAGTATTGAGGGCTGAGGGCAAAGAGTTCGAAGATATGAATGGTGTCTCCGAGGAAGTGAAGCAAGTGGACCTGGCTAAACTTGAAGATTTCTTTTCTGAATTTGCGTTGATAGGAAAACAGAATAAAGATTTATTTAACAAAGATGAACTGCAAATACGTCGCATATCAGCTGGGATAGAATCTCCATTCTCAGTTGTGGAGGTTAATGGTTGAGTAATGAGGTTATCAGGTGTACAAGAGGAAGTGCTGGACTGTAAAAGGTAAAAACAAAAAGGACAAAGTAAGTAAAAGCAGCAATGTGGTAATGAAAGTTTAACAACATATACTGTGGATTATCAGATCATTTGTAGCTGATTTTTCTTTCTAAATTTGTTTTAGTCATTATTCCTTCTTACTGTCATTTGATTTCTACTTTGTTAATTTTCAAGTTGTGGTCATCTGTGGCATAGTTGCATTTATTGCACATTCTTAGTTGTAGTGAGAAAGTGATAGGGGATATTTTGAACCATTTAACACTGGCTTTATACAAATAAGGGGCATGTACAGCACTGTAGAGCTTAGGTATCAGAGTGCAGCCAGACTGGGGTTATGCAGCGGGCAGAGCAGCATTATTTCCTTAAAGGGCATTACTAAACTAGTTGGATTTTCACGACATTCTGACAGCGTCAAGATCATGTTTACTCATATTAACTTTTCATTTCAAAATTTGTTTTTAAACCAAATTCAATGTCTCAAACTGCTTTGGTAGCATTTAAATATGCATTATCTGGACCCTCACATTCAGTCAATCCTCTGGATTTCTCATCTGTGCATTATTGGACAGGCGTACCAGGTTAAAACATATTGAAACTTCCTGAATATACTGGGTAGTAAGGTAACAGCCTGGTAGAATTATGCTCCAAAATATGTTCACTTCAGTAAAACATACGCCAATTGTCATCGTGTTGTTTCAAATGAAAAATAGAACTTCGGCACTGTTTTAAGCATATAATCAATATTACTTTGACACCAACAAGTAAATCCTTGTTTCACTGAAAATAAACACTTTGTAGTTATCTGCTTCTGACCCTAAAAGTAATTAAATCTGTCAGTTCACTCAACGTGCTCATTAATTTGTCCTTTACATGTTAATGACAAAATAATTCCCTTCAACATTTCCTTTCTCCTACGCAAACCTTAATAGTAGCCACTCATGTCAATCACCCATTAAGCACAATGTTATTTTTGAAGAAATTGAAGTCTTCTCAGATTAGTTTGACAATTCTAATTAGCAATATCTCATGACTGAAGAGTGCCTCACTGCTCCACAAGCCATGATCAAATGTATAAAATCTCAGTGAGACCACCAAAATGATCAATGTGCCTGGCTGACTGCTACTCAGGACAAAAGCAATTCACACCAGGCTTCGTAACAGAAAATTAGTTCTATTTATTGTAACACATTTAACTTTGCAAAAAAGTAGGATTTCTAATCTTGTTACAGAGATAGTAGGAACTGCCGATGTTGGAGAATCTGAGATAACAAGGTGTACAGCTGGATCAACACAGCAGGCCAAGCAGCATCAGAGGAGCAGGAAAGCTGACATTTCGGGCCTAGACCCTTCTTTCTAAAGGGTCTGCTCTGTTCATCCAGCTCTACACCTTGTTATCTTGGATTTCTAATCTATCTTTATGCAAATTAAACGATACTCCTTCAAAACCCACAAATACAGATACACACATTCGTGGTCAAGAAAAGAGAAAAAATGCTTAGCACATATACTGGTACTCTTAGCTTTGTAGTACACTGCAGCTCAACCAGAGGGCTGGTGTCAAGCAGAATTTTCTCAACTTAAAAGATTCTCAATGTTGCTCAGTCTCGAACTCCTCCTCTCTCAGCTTCAAAAAGCAGCATTGTATCACACAGCTCAAAATATGCCGCACTTGATTTTTGAGTTGCAAAACTCTCCTGCTATCTCAGTTATAGCAGATCAACTTTCATTTCAGTTTATACTATAGTTCCAAAAAGAAAATATATGGTCTATTACAAATGTCTGTGCTCTTTACTATGAAGTGATTCAAGCTCTGTGCTCCTTGGCTCTAATCAGAGTCATGAGCAGTTACATGAAGCTTGTATCATCTCCAAACTAGATTCGAAACATTTAGGAAGTCTATGTCAGCTAACCACAAAGGACAACAGTAGCTGTCAGAATAAGCTTATTCAAATAAAATTGCAGCCTTATAACATGTTGAAGCTTCAAAGAAAGCTGTATTGGCAACAGACTGATTCACACTTCCAATGCTCTTCAAAGAGTCCCCCACTCAGTCATAGCACATGGAGGTGCGAAACTGGTTTCTATCCCTCCCACTCTGTGAAGACAGCTATGTTTCCACATTGCTTTCTAGTAGGCAGATTTTATCGTCAGCAGAAATCTGAAAATTGCTTGGACTTGCAATCAAAAATATACAAGGAAGGGAAAGATAGAAAATACCAAGAGTCAATCATCACAAGACAAAATGTGCATATGAAAATATTACGGTTTTCTTTACTCCAGAAGTCCAAATACTGCCTTCACTGATTTGAATATGAGAATGCTTTCCTTTATAGTTGATATTTTTTTCAATCTTAAAGAATAAAATTTGGGCAAAATTGAAGAGAAAAATCAAAAGAATTGAAAGAAACAGTTTGGAAAGGTAATGGGGTTAAAATTGTTTCAGAGATAGTAGGAACTGCAGATGCTGGAGAATCTGAGATAACAAGGTGCAGAGCTGGATGAACACAGCAGGCCAAGCAGCAAGGGTCTAGGCCCGAAACGTCAGGAAAAGGCCCGAAACGTCAGCTTTCCTGCTCCTCTGATGCTGCTTGGCCTGCTGTGTTCATCCAGCTCTGCACTTTGTTATCTTGGAAAGGTAATGGGTTCTTTTTGAAATGATAAGACTTTTGAAAAAGCTTATGTAAAAGGAAAGATGCAAATGCATGTATGCAAGGAGTTCACTGCCTTCTTGAGAATCGAGTGAAGATAATCTCTTTCGTTGACAGCTTTTTAATCTACCACATAATTTTTTTAAAAATTGGTAAATGTAAATATACTGTATATTATTAATTTTAAGTTCGTAATTTTACAGATACAGTTGGACAAATTAACCCTGTTGGACTCTCAATGAATTTTTCTTAAACAATAGACAATCGTGTGCAGGTTCATGTGAGCATTAATGGTACAGCAATAAATTGTGCAGCTTTGAGAATTAAGGTACAGCTTGGTAACAATTTGAACTAAATTTGGCAAGACATGTTGCAACCGTAGAAGACTTTGGTCAGGCCACATTTGGAATACTGTGTGCAGTTCTGGCTGCCACATAATAGGAAGGAAGTGGAGGCTTTGGTGAAGCTACACAAGAGGTTTACCAGGATCATGTCTGGATTGAAGTGTATTAGCCATAACGAGAGATTGGACAAACTTGGATTGCTTTTGCTAGAGCGTCGGAGGCTAAGAGGCAAGCTGTTAGAAGTATACAAAATTATGAGTGGCATGGTTAAGGTGGATAGTCGACATCTCTTTCCCAGGGTAGAAATGTCAAATACCAGGGGTCATAGGTTTAAGATGAGCGAGGGGAAGTTTAAAGATTTGTGAGGAACGGAAGTTTCTTTTTACACAGAGAGGGAGATGGTAAGAGCAGATATAATAGATAGGTTTAAGAGGCATTTAGACAGATTCGAACAA